TATTATATATACATATTTTATATATTTTTTAAATAAGCTTAATTCGATTAAATATTTTATATAATAATAATAATAAATATAAGTAAATATTTCTAATATATATTTTATGAAAATTTTTTTAATGTTCGCTAGGAACGTCATCTGTTTCATAAAGTGCAAACTAGCATCTAGCTGTATACACTAATAAAGAAAATGTTATTTTATAACTGTTGCAAGTTTTTCTCGCTAAAATAGGACTATTTTAGATTCATTTATATTATGTGCTATTTAAGATTGTCATTATTTTTTGCTGTTATACTTTATGTTGAAATACTATTTTATCTTGATATCATATATATAAATTTTATATATACGTGGACTTTATTTTATCGATTTTGTCTTTACTCTAAATTAGTCGTTATTGTATTTGCAACGTCATTTCTTAGCTTATTATGTCCGACTGCAGGCAGTCGGACATAATAAGCAAAGAAATCAAAGACTCGAGAATTTAGTACCTGTCTCCGACCGACCCTCAATATATCAAAAAGGTCGATGCTTCTTTTGTGTTTTCGTAGATCTATCTGAGACCTACACAAAAAATTCAACAAAACGTCTTATACTTTATTATTTATTCAAGAATATTTGCGACTTAAGTTGTTATCTTTTTCATTCATTAATTAAACAATTATATTAATTTATTACAATATAAATATGACGTACATGATTTTTTAAATAATATTGTAGCTTTCATTGCGCACAATAATATGTTCTTCATAAAATCGCTAGTTTCACAATTTCTGCGCGTTGATTGTTTCGAGCTTGTCGAAACGGTAATGCGTCGGCGCATTTTCATCGACGCCGACGCCGACGCCGATGACGCTTGGCAGGACCGTCTCAGAAAACTTTCCAGTAATATGTATTGAAAAATGAAGATTTAATATAAAATTCAAGAGGTTACCAAACATGTTTATATTAAGTATGATTAAAATTAATTATAAATTCAATAATAATAAAATAACACAACGAATTTTAAAAAATTATGTATTCATATTTTATTCTTTTTTATCTTAATTATTATTTCGTCATGTTACATGTAAATAAGTTTTTAAATTTAAAAAGAGGAACATCACTTACTTAAAATTCTTGCAAAGTAAATTAATATGCTATGCAAATTATGTTATAGAGATTGTATGAACACATGTTGCGGAAACAGTAATGAAAGAAAAAAATTTTAATACACTGCTTATAATGATTTAATTAAGGAAATGTAACAATATACGGATGCATGTCGGACATGATTATTGTTTTTATTTATATAGCTGTCTCCCTGGAACTTTACACATTCCGGCACTGCGATATTCCTATATGTATATGTTTGAAACCTGCGCCCAAGGGTGACGGCCATGTCGACGTGGACCCTGCAGTGCTCCCCCGTTGCAACCTATGCACACTTTCGGTTAGCGACTATTCGTACAAAGAAACAACCGTTTTTAGGGAACGAACAGGTTCATCTCAAAGCAAGTAATCGTCGCGCCGGATTACTCTTGCACGCAGCATTTGGGCTATGAATGAAGACCCAACCCTTTCACCTCGAGGTAATCATTCTCTATATATTTAGTAATACATCTTGTCATATTCACTCGATGTATCCGGAGGATTTATAAAGCAAAACTAAGATTGCTTCATTGAAAAAGTCAAGGGGTTATCATAGATAAGAAAACAACGACACGCTTCATCGTGCCGTGATTAAAAGTAATTAAAAAAATATTAATGTGCGTGAACGAGTGACGACGTTTTATCGATCGCATTACTTATGCATGTGTACTTCAAGGAAGAGTATTCTTTGGTTGTATACATATATTGTTACAGAGTGTATAAGGTGGATACTCCACTCGTGCGTCACTTTGACGTTTGCCATTTATTAGTCGATCATAATATAGCCTTAATTAAAATATCATACATATGAATAAGGAAGCTCTCTATATATCAAAAAAGTATTAACGCATTTTGTACTGTTTGAAAGTATCTTACATATAAATATAGAACGTTCTCTCTTCCGTTTGCCTTGATATGAAAGATAATCGATATGCAACTTTTTAGCGGAAAACAATTACGAAGTTAAACTTTTTTACCTTTTTATTATATTACGAAAGATGCATACATGTTTACATATGTGTTTGTGGCGATTAAGGAACGTTATATTGTTGTTAGGTTTTGGCAGTGTTGCTTCTATCTGTGATTCCATGGCCGGGTCCCAGCGTCTTTAAAATATCATGTCCTCGCGATCGAGCGTCTGTAGTGAGGAGGATAGTTCACAAGGTAAAAGAAAGCATTATACATATAATCAGAATTATTAATTAAAAATATGTAGTAAATGGATTATATGTGAAAATATCCCTAAAAGTAAAATAGTTGGTACAGAAGATTATACCAAAAATAATAAGCAATCATTTTTAATTATTAATTACAATTTTTTTATATGTCACTCAGCATTATTAAGATCAGTGTTAGTCAATTAACTCGTGATATTACTGCGGTAATTTAGTAGAGTTTGCGTTTCAAGACCGAAAAATCATTTCGGTACATATTTTAAAATACTATACATACAAATAATCAAAACGTACTTTTATCGATAAAAATGCGTTTTTATCTTTAAAATTCTATAGTGCGTAATAAATTATAGCATGTTAGCGCGTTCTGAATACGGGCCATATAATATATAAATTCATACAGAATCATGTAAGCATTTAAGATTAGTCCATTTAAACCATTTAAGGCATTGATTTCTATAGATTGCTGTGTTCTTACATATACGCGGTTCTATAAAAAATTATATCGTAGAATTTTTTTGCTATTGAAAACCAAGTAGTCATCAAGAGAATATTGTTTTCTACATAATCACCATTCCTTCATACATATTTTTTTCATCGTTCTGGAAGTTTATATATTACTTTGCGACAGAATTTTATTTTAGCTGCTCAAAGCAATGACTTCACTGATTGATTCCGTCGAAAACTAATACACACACGTCGACTTCGCAACTAGTTATAAATTTAAAAGAAATAATAATTGGAATGTGCTACATCATAATTATAAAAGGAGTGAAGAGTGATCTTCCATTATGTTTTGTACAAATTTTTTCGAAGTATTGTAAAATAAACGAAATGGAATCATTTGTACTAAACAGCATAATCTTTTTTTTAAAAGATTGTTGGCGAGGCTAACATTACGAAACAACGGAAACAGTATAGCATGTCATTATCGATCAACTGAAACAGAGTTCTATCACAAAAGAATATTCAAACTTCTAAAACTATATGAAAAATTTACAAAGAAGTATAAGAATTACGTAGAAAAGTAAACAAAAATCTGTAGATTAAGATGATGTATGTACTTAGTTTTTTTAATAACAAAAATTCTAATTTAGAAAAAATTGTGGATCATTACTTTCGATGACTATTTTTACAAAGAGAAACAAAGAATATATTTTTCAAAAAAATATTTTTAAAAATATCTGATAATTTTTTTTTGATAACAGTTTATTGAACTAAAATTATAAAAAGACGAAAATCCGGATAATCTTTTGAGCTTCATTAAAATTTCAGAGATGGATGCCAATACTGAAGAAATATCAGGTAGAATTACCATTGGAATGCCCGTTCCACGAGAGTCGAGATATTTTTCGACCACAGCAAAAGGCAAAGCATCAACACAGGCCATCACAATGGACCTGCGGCCTTTGCGGCAAATCCTTTTACGCCGAGAAACATTTGGACGCCCACTTCGATAACAGACACAAGAGCAATGTTAATACGGTAAATGATATGTAAAGGATAAAAATTCACATTGTCTCTCGATCATTGTAATCACAGTTGTCACCGTTCTACTGAAGAACTAATAGTTCCCACTATTTTGCAGCAAATCAATTGTCTATCAAAATTATCTTGAGAAAAAACTGTAGTTAAACCTGTAGTTCTATTATAATGTATCTCTCAAAAAAAAAATTATCAATTAACTTCTTACAATATTTCTTTTGAAATCACTTTTGAAATTTTGATAAGCATTTTGATAAGCAATTTCGATTTCCGACAAAATAATGGGATCTTCGATAGTATGACGACCATGATTGTAACATATTTTAAAGATTAAATAATTTAGCCAAAAAATATATTATATAACATAAAAATTGTTGGTAACTCAATTTTTTAAAAAATGTATGCTATATAGTGTTATATATATTTTTTTAAAGATTCTATTTCTTCATTATATTTTTTATAAATTTTTTATTTCTTTCTAATTACACTGCATAATCTTTATTTTGACAAAGTTTTCATCAATTTAAAAATTATCTTTACTCTTTAATAATTACTACATGAATTATCAACGAGCCAAAGCTTTTTATCAGTTCCTCAGAAAAATATAGAATCTAAACATGTTCTTTTCTCTAGGCAGAAGATGCGGTATGCCTAGCGGACTACTGCGACATTATGCGTTGCGAGGTACTGGGCAACCGCGACTTCGAGAATTTGGTGGACGACGATGGCGGTCACCTGAACACCGACATCCAGATATGGCGCGAAAATACCGAGCAGCAAAAGCAACAGCAACAGCGGCGCAGCACTTCTGTCGTGCCCTGCGGGTCGCGTGGCCTCGCCAGGATGTATCCTACAGATAAGTCCTGCGCCATTGCTGGCGGTGGAGCGGTGACGAATCTGCAACGTTACTGCCGTCGTGACGACCATCATGACGACGGTGATATGCACAATCATAGATTAGCGAGATCATCTTATCACAATGAGATCGCCGAAACGGATAATAAGAATGATTGCGAGGAGGATGAGGACGAGGAAGACGAAGAGGATATGGAAGATGAGGAGAATCTAGTAGAAGCAGCGCTACCTGCTGTCGACAAAAAGAGACGGCGAGGACTGCATTTAAGAAAATTAAAATCCAACTGTAAGCCAGAAGAGTTGCAGAAATTGAAGACCCAGTGTGAAGTGAGTTTCTGTGAAATCACATTATTGCATGATCACTGCAATTTTATCTGAGAGAAAAGATTTTGTATTTATGACTACAATTGCATGATAAAATAATTATTTTTCGTTTATCTGTATTGAATGTTTTTAGGTCAAAAAAATTTTCTCTTATTATTTATAATAATTAATAGCTCTATTTTTACATTTATTATTGTTATGTTAGTAATAATAATAATTTATAATTCTATATATCAAAAAATTCTTAAATATAATTGTTATTACTAATATTATAGT